ATTAAATATTAATAATTTATATAAAGTTCAAAAAAATTGATTGGGATGGGATTTGAAACAGCAACCTCAAGTATGAAGGTTGAGCAACATTGCCAACTAAGCTACTTAATGTATATGTTTTTAATACCTTAGTTATAGTATTTATGTATAAAAACGGGGGGGCCATGGCCCCCAAAGGCCCTTATAGGGATCCGCCCCTGCTTTTAATAGAAAGCGTCGCATGAGCAATTCTTATAGAACACTCTTAAGAAAGCGTCCAAGAAATCCAGCTTTTTTTTATTTATACATAAGACACTTTTTTAAGTAGTGTCCTTGTAACGCGATACTTTCTATTAAAGCCATTGTTTGAAAAGGTTCGCCGCAACAACTGCCATGGCTCAAGGCATGTGTCTCACGCCACGTCACGTCACGTCACGTCACGTCCCGTCCGAGGCATGCCATTGCATACTTAATGCATAGATTTTGTATTTCACATATCTTTTTAATACATAAATTAATTAATTTAAATTGTTTACTATCATTAATTTATATTGAATAATAGTAGAAAACATATATTTATGTATATAATATTATATATGATATAGAGATTGTCGTCATAAGTCACGCCTTGACCTCACCACGGCTTTTAAGGCTTGAGAGGTTTGGCCTCTCATGCTATTGGAATCTTGATTAAATGTGTCATATATAAAAACTAGTTTAGACTCCCAAAAACGCCATATAAACTTATTACAACGCTTTTAGATAAGACATTATATTTTTTTGTCCTATGGATCAAGTCTTATAAAGTGGAAGTGGTCTATTATGACGCTTAAAAGTGTTTGACGTCCTATAAATCCGATTTTGGTGTAATGAACTAACAACAGTTTTATCGATCAATATCAACCAGGTACATAGTCTTGTGTTTTGAATTAGCACTACAATTGTATTGATCATAAATATGAAAGATGAAAAAATGAGATTAAAATTAAGATGGATGTGAAATGTCAAAGGGAAGTTAAGAACTACAGCTGCAATTGCGAAAGCTACAGCAAGATGATTGATATTAAATACTTGAAGTAACTTCCACATGGATATGGATGCTGGTTACTGGTAGGTTGGGCTGCATCATTAATTGCACTTCTCCATGTTCTTATACAAATGAAAAAACACATAACACTTTTAAGGCTCTGAATCCAATTCCAAATTAAAGTTAACCTAATGCAATGCCAATATATGCCACGCCTGTTTTAACTAACGTTTATAGTCGCTGGAATTACTATCAAAAAGCATGAAAAATACAAAGTGCAATTTTCACATATCAACATGGTTGTTGACAACATTTAATCACTTTAAATGGCACATGGTTTCAGCTGTACGTCTAATCAAATCAAGAGCTCGCAGTCGCAGGCCAAAATATCAGATACTGGGAGTGGGTTGTTATATAAACCTTACTTGCCTTCATCTCCATCATTACTACTCGTAAAACATTTACACTGCACGCTACACAACAATAAGATGAAACAGCCTGCTACCTTGTCTTTGCTTTCTTTTCACACTCTTTTTCTGAGTCTAGTGTTTGCTAGAAATGTGGTTGATTTCAGTCATAACCATGATGACAAGCTCTTGATCAGTGGTGGCAAGGGAGGTGGATTTGGCTTTGGAGGTGGTTTTGGTGGAGGTAGTGGATTTGGTGGTGGTGGAGGCGGCGGGGGTCTTGGGGGTGGGCATGCCATAGGTGGTAAAGGTGGAGTGGGAGGAGGAATAGGGGGCGGCTTTGGTGGAGGCATTGGAAAAGGTGGTGGAATAGGGGGCGGACATGGTAAGGGTGTTGGAGTGGGTGGCGGCATTGGCAAGGGTGGCGGATTTGGTGGTGGGATTGGAAAGGGTGGTGGAGTTGGTGGAGGAATTGGCAAGGGTGGGGGATTTGGTGGTGGAGTGGGTGGCGGGATTGGCAAGGGAGGCGGACTTGGTGGGGGGATCGTCAAGGGTGGCGGACTTGGTGGCGGGATTGGCAAGGGAGGCGGACTTGGTGGAGTTGGGGGAGGGATTGGCAAGGGTGGTGGAGTCCAGGGAGGGATAGGTAAGGGTGGAGGATTCGGTGGAGGGATCGGCAAGGGGGGAGGAGTCGGCGGTGGGATCGGCAAGGGCGGAGGAGTCGGCGGTGGGATCGGCAAGGGCGGAGGAGTCGGCGGTGGGATCGGCAAGGGCGGAGGATTCGGCGGTGGGATCGGCAAGGGTGGAGGATTCGGCGGAGGGATCGGCAAGGGTGGAGGATTCGGCGGTGGGATCGGCAAGGGTGGAGGAGTCGGCAAGGGTGGAGGATTCGGCGGAGGGATCGGCAAGGGTAGAGGATTCGGCGGTGGGATCGGCAAGGGTGGAGGATTCGGCGGAGGGATCGGCAAGGGTGGAGGATTCGGGGGAGGGATCGGCAAGGGTGGAGGATTCGGCGGAGGGATCGGCAAGGGTGGAGGAGTCGGCGGTGGGATCGGCAAGGGTGGGGGAGTAGGAGGGGGTTTTGGCAAAGGGGGTGGGATTGGGGGAGGTGACTAAATTGATGATAATGAGTGCATGTATTATTTGTATTATCATAAACAAGTATGGAACCGTATGTTGTGCGGTAGTATGAGTGCTATGATTAATGATATGAAGATTGTCTATATAAATATATATTAATTGTTAATAGAATCATCAATAAATCATATTCAAATAATTCGAAAAAGTTAAATAAAATATAGTTAGTGAAATTTTAATATACACATATATATATATATATATATATATATATATTGAGAGAGAGATTTGTTTAGTAATAAAGTTGTAAAACTAAATAAAATGAGAAATAATAACAACAGAAATATTAAGGAATCTGATACAAACTTAAGAATAAAAAATACTCCACATAAAGATATGTCTCTTTCAAAAGAAGATGTACATATACTATTTTTCATCTTCAACACATACCTTCACTTTAAAAACACAATAGTGAATGGACCAACCATACGATATGTAAAAAATCACATACCAAACTTAAATTCAAATCTTTATATCCCAATAGATAAAATTATAATGCAATCAAAATCATAACATGAACATACATAAAATTATAATACGACTAAACTTACGRTAAGAACATACTTAAAAATATAATCCAATCAAAATCATGATACAAACATACAAACATTCTAATACACTTTAAATTACAAAACAAACTTGCATAAAATCCTTATCTTAGATCATAATAAAAAATTCCCACAACCCAAACTTGAAATGTTCAAATTTTCAAGACTTGATATATAAACGTTAAAGAACTCGAAAACCTGCAAACCAAAAAACGTTCAACATAAGTAAAAAAATACATGGTGAACTTGAACATTTTAAATCTTTATCTAATACATAAGAGTTATAATGCAAACAAAAATCACGATACAAACATAAATAAAATTATAATGCAATCAAAATAATGAAACAAATCAGTATAAATTTTTTACCTTATATTGCAACCAAAAAATCAAATATTGAACTTGAAAACTTCTTCAAATCTTCATGACATAATGCATAAAAACTATAATGCAACCTAAATAACGATTCAAACATACATAAACTTTTGGGAGAAGTGAAAAAAAAATTATGAAGATTATCAATAGTAAAATAGAAGAAAAACCAAAGAGAAAGAAAATAAATTTAGAGATGTATAAGATAGAGATAGAATTTGAAAGGGTGTGAGAGATGAAGATGAATAAATAGTTGTTGTTTATATGTATATAAATAAATGATTGATGGGAAAAGATGAAAGATTTGGATTTATGTCATTTGAATTAATATAGAAGGAGATAAATGGTTTGGAGTTGAATGCAAACATTTAACAAAAAAAATATAAATTGACAAATATATATATATATATATATATATACATATTGAGAGAATGAAGGAGAAAAAAGAAAAATGAGGTTCTAGGCTTTAGGAKAGGTCACTTCAAACACTCATGGTTTATTCTTTAATATATATAATAATACATAAGAGTTATAATGCAAACAAAAATCACGATACAAACAAAAATAAAATTATAATGCAATCAAAATCATGAAACAAATCAATATAAACTTATTAATTTATATTGCAACCAAAAAATCAAATATGGAACTTGAATACTTCTTCAAATCTTCATGACATAATGCATAAAAACTATAATGCAATCTAAATAACGATACAAACATACATAAAATCATGGGAAAAGTGAAAAAACAAAAAAAAACTATGAAGATTATCAATAGTAAAATAGAAGAAAAACCAAAGAACTTGAAACTTCTTCAAATCTTCATGACATAATGCATAAAAACTATAATGTAATCTAAATAATGATACAAACATACATAAAATTATGGGAGAAGTGAAAAAAAAAACTATGAAGATTATCAATAGTAAAATAGAAAAAAAAAACCAAAGAGAAAATAAATAAATTTAGAGATGTATAAGATAAAGATAATATTTGAGAGAGTGTGAGAGATGTAGATGAATAAATAGTTGTTGTGTATAAATAGTTATTGTTAATGAAGCTTAAATTAAAAAAAAAATCATATCTTGTGATTATAAAATATCAAAATTTTATTCAAATTTATATGATCAAATCGTAAACACAATTTATATGATCCAATCGTAAACACAATCATATCCTATGATAACAACACATCCAACAATATTGAAAAAGAAACATGTAATAACAAATAACATTTTTTAATGAATATAATTTCTACATACCTTTTAAAATCTTTGAATTCTTCTTCAACTCTCACCTTCTTCATCCCTTTCCAAATGATTTTATATGATTTCATTTTGTTTATTATTGAAACTTTAAAAAACAAAATTCATTAAGAAATAAAAGAAAGTAAATGGAAGAGCAAATCAAGAGTTTGAGGTTAAACTTGGGTATACAAAATTACAAAAATAACCCGGGTTGATTATGAACTATACATTTTTTATCCAAGGGCAAAAAAGTCTAACATATTCAACGTTTAAAAAATCAAAAAAAAAATGAGAAAAAAGATAGGAGGGGTCCTAAGCATTAAAATGTGTCACTTCATTACCTTTGGTTTCTTTTTTAATATATATACTAGTATGGGAACCGTGCGTTGCGCGGTAGTATGAGTGTTTTGATTAATGATCTGATGATTGTCTATATAAATATATATTAATTGTTAATAGAATTATCAACAAATCATATTCAAATAATTCGAAAAAGTTAAATAAAATATAGTTAGTGAAATTTTAATATACACACACACACACATATATATATATATATATACTAGAAGCGTACTCGCGCAATGCAGCGAGAT